CACTCCCGGTACAGCCCCGGGGCCCCCGAGACTGCCCCAAGACAGCCACGGTACGGCCCCGGGGCACCCCCGGGACTGGCCTGGGACAACCTCGGGACAGCCCCGGGGCATCCCCGGGGCACTCCCAGTACAGCCCCGGTATATCCCCGGGGCAGCCCCAATACGGCCTCGGGGGGCGGCCCCGGGACAACCCCGGGACAGCCCCGGTACGGCGCCGGGGCGGCCCCGGGGCACCCCCGGGACAGCCCCGGGGCCCCCCCAGGATAGCCTCAGGGCACTCCCGGTACATCCCCGGGGCATCCCCGATACAACCCCGGTACGGCCCCGGGACAGCCCTGAACTGCCCTACGACAGCCCCGGGGCAGCCCCGGGACAGCCCCGCGGCACCCCCAGTATAGCCCTAGGGCAGCCCTGGTACGGCCCCGAGACAGCCCCGGTACGGCCCCGGGGCAGCCCCAGGAGGGCCCTAGGGCAACCCCGGTACAGCTCCGGGGCAGCCCCGGGAAAGCCCTAGGGCACCCCTGGTGGGCGCTCCTGATACAGCCCCGGTACAACCCCGGGACAGCCCCCAAACCACACCCGGAAGCATCAGTCTCAATAACAAAGGTTTTGGTAAAATCTAGTAGGGCTAGGACTAGTATTGTGACCATCCGTTGTTTGAGCTCCTCGAAAGCACCTTGAGCTTCGGTAGTCCACAAAAAACACCCTTTTTAAGTAGTAGGTAAAGGCTCAGCCATCTTGCCATAATCCCTCACAAAACGCCTGTAGTAACCCGTGGGCCCCAAGAACGTAAATCCCGAACATTCTTAGGAGCGGGCCAATCAACCATAGCTGCGATTTTTTTGGGATCAACTTGAACACCAGTGTCAGTGATGACATGACCTAAATACTCTACTCTTTGCTGCCCAAAAACACATTTCTTTTGTTGGCCACCAATTGGTGCTGCTGTAGCAAGGCAAAGACGCTCCTCAGATGCTGCAAATGAGAATCCCAACAAGAATATCATCGAAGACAAACTTGCGTAAGTGTGGTCGGAAAACCTCATTCATTAAAGATTGGAAGGTGGCCGGCGCGTTTGTTAAGCCGAAGATTCATAGTGACCGGCGTGAGTACGAAAAGCTGTCTTCGGTGTATCCTCCTCACACACCCGGATTTGATGGTAGCCGGATTTCAGGTCCAATTTGGAAAAGAAAATAGCACCCCCAAGCTCATCCAACAATTCATCTATAGCTGGAATCAAAAACTAGTCAGGAACTATAATTTTATTTAGGGCACGGTAATCCACGCAAAAGCACCACTCGCCGGATTTCTTCTTAACTAACAACGTCGGACTAGAAAACGGGCAATTGTCATGCTTAATAATTCATGCTACCAACATCTCTTTCACAATCTGTTCAATTTCATATTTTTGAGAATGGCCGTAAATTAGGTGGGTCGGTTCCCTTCTTCAGTGGAATCACATGATCGTGAAATCATGAAGGAAGAAGGCCAGCCGGAGGCTCAGAAACCATATGAAATTCTGTTAACTTCTCCAATTTAAGATTATCTGCCCCTTCTTCCAATCTGTCCAAAACAGACACCTGCCCAAACTTAACCAAAAACCTTTGTCCTTCCTCACGAATTGCTTCCAATCTGTCCAAAACAGACACCTGTCCTCACGAATTGCTTTTAGCATTGTGTTAAGAGAGACCAGAGTTTTTGACAAGGAAGGTTCTTCCAATTAGCGCTCACTTCTCCTAACATACCAAGCCAGCTAATTCCCAAAATAACATCAACACTGCCAAGTTTAATGGGAAAAAAATCCTGAATGACTCCAATCCTTGCACCCGAACTGCCACCTGTCTACATACCCCTTGCCCAGCCACCCGATAACCATTTCCCACCAAAATTCCAAAGTTGGGTGTTTTATCTACCGGAATTTTGGGTTCAGCCACAATTCCTTTAGACAGAAAATTATGAGAGGCGCCAGAATCAATTAAAATTACTACTTCTCTGCCAAAAATCATACCTTTCGACCTTCATTGTGTTTATCGATGGGATTCCCACTGAATTCATGGAAAGTTCCATGGATCCCTCCCTACTCGGTCGTTGGTTCTTTCAGAATTTCCTCACCCTCTGCGTTAGCCCCATCTCCATCTTCTTCATTCACCGCCGCAATGAGAACCTGCAATTGTGGGTTTTTACAAACATGCCCGAACCGCCATTTCTCCTCACACCGGAAGCATAATCCACGCTCTCTGCGCCGCTGCATTTCTGCGTTGGAGATTTTCCTTCTCAAGCCGTCTCGTTTCCTCGTGTACTGAGAAGAGCTGGAGCTACTACTTGCAGTGCCTCCAAATGCTGATGTCCTCAGCCCATCCATTCTGAAAATTCTAGCTCTCCCTCACCACTATTCCTAGCCCGTGAGGTTTTCAACATTTGGGCCCGCTCAAGGGGCCAATTCTTTTCTTCAATTTTTTGGGCCAAATCCATTAATTGGACGAGGGAATTAGCCTTAATCTCCTCTATAAACCGTTCGAGAAGGCTCCAATCAGGAATTCCTCATCTGCCTTTCTCAACGGAGCGGATAACAACTTGAACTGCTCACGAAATTTCGCCACCGACGAATCCTGTCACAGAGTAATCAACACCTCGTAGTGGTTGCCCGTTTGCGAAGATCGAAACCTCTGTAACACCAGTTCCTTGCAGATCGGCCAATCAACGTTACCTGATCTGGATCCCATCCACTGAAACCAATTCAATGCCTTCCCTTAGAGTCCAATCACAGCCGCCACCACACGTTCCGCTGCCTCTTCGACGCCTTGCACCTGAAAATACTGCTCAAGTCAAAATAACCAACCGTGCGGATCCTCGCCGTTAAAGAGAGAGGAATTTCCATTCGACGGAAATGCGGTTCCCAACCGCTCGGAGCTGGTCCATTACGGGAACGATTCGCCGCCACGGTAGGACCACCACCTTCATCACCGCTTGAAGCCGATGCCTTAGTTTGCTCGGCCTGTGGATTCGCATTGCCTCCCGATCGCATCCAACCAGTAAGCTCCTTCATATACTCCCTCACGGCTCCCATATCCTCTGAAAGTTGTCCGACAGCCGTTTTGAGTTCTCCGACGTCTCTCTCAACAACTTTCAATCTTCCATCCATTTTACCGACTTTTGAAGCTACCATTCCCAGAGGAATCTGCTCTGGTACCAATTTGATGGAAACCTCAGCGAATTAGTAAAGAACAGGATGAATGAATGAAGTTTGTTAAACAAGGAAGAACACTTTGCACAGGTGATATTCGAGAGATCACCACTCTCCTATACTCTCCAATCTCTATTCTTTCTAAAGATATCTAACTTCACAGCATTTCTTAACAACTAACTAAATTCAGTTACAACCCGTCCACGACAGCCATGCAGCCAACCTCCTACTATTTACTGTTTCTTTCTCCTAGCTCCTGGCTCTGGCTCGTATCAGTATAATACAGGGTGAGATCAAGTTAGGCGACTACAGGGGCATCAATCTTGGTTGATTGGCTGGTAGAAAGTTCACAACAAATTTGAGCTCATGCCAGAGACTCTCTACCTTCAACATTGTCGACCGGTTCCTCTAAATGAAAGTCGTCCCGAGGAGAGAGCTTCAATTGGTTGGCATCAGCTCAATGCTTCTAGCAAGCAAGTAGGAAGAAATCTGGGCACCTGAGGTTAATGACTTTGCCTGCATTTCAGACAATGCCTATGCCAAAGAACAGATTTTGGCCATGGAAAAGGCAATCTTGGGAAAGTTGGATTGGTGCTTAACAGTACCAACACAATATGTCTTCCTTGTTTACTCTAAATCTAAATCTTCCCGAGAACAAAACTGTTAACTGCCTACTTTAGCTTCAAAGTTTTCCTTCTTTTTTTCTTTTTTCCTAATGAAATGAAGTGTAAATTTTATTCCAAAACCGTCATCCAGTCACCAATAAAGAAAAAGATCGCTATTACATTCACCATCTCTATCATGTGTTCGATTATATGTTAAAACATTGCTACACCCAAACGGGAATAAATTATTATCTTTCAACAGCTTTACAGAATAAATAAACAAAATTGGAAAACGAAAAGCAAAACAAATAAAAGAATTCAAGAAAACAAAAGCTGTTCCTCTTGTTAGACATTTTTTTCCATCACTCCAAATTGACATCATAGAGATCCTTGAGAAGCCTGGTTGTTGATGTTGAGGTGTTGTTTTGAGTATCATCTTTACTGTGGAGAGAAATAGAGGAATCAATCCATGGTCCATCTGAAGAGATGCCTCCTCCGTGACTGTCTGGCGAGTACAACGACATGTCCGTTTGGCTGTCTTGTGTAAGTTTCTCAAAGGCCTTAAACCTCGGATCCTGTTCCGATGAGCTGCGCTTGACCAACGGAGCTTGTGCCGGGATTTTGCCTTCCAGCATGCTAACCACAGAAGACATAATTGGTCTAAGAGTGGGAGATGGGTTGGTGCATAAGAGTGCCAAGTTAAGCATTGTCAGAGCTTCCTCTTTCGAATAGTTTGAACCAAGACTAGGATCCACAAGCTCTAATAGATTTCCTTGCTCTTGTTGGACATAGGCCTTCAGGTAAGAAAGGAAAAGTTAGTCCTCATGAATAGATTCACATAGGAAGTTAGTTGCAAAAGGAATGAAATGCAAAAGAATAATATTAATAAGGGGTATTTCCTATTGAGTGACATTAGACTAGAATTCTGAAGAATAATGCTTTATAATACACCAACTAAATGCTCATAATGTGTGCGCGCGCGTGTCAGTGTGTAAGTCAGTCCAAATCTATCATAAGATTGTGAAATATAAAATAAAGTAGTGTATATTCAAGAGTTAAATTCTATGTAATTTTTCAAAAGAAATTCCTGATTTGTTTTAAGAAAAGCACAGGGGTGAGAAAATAACAGACATATATACTTGAGAAACCACATAATGCAGTTCACAACTCACCCAATCCAGAAGATAAACAAACTCCTCCTTTGGCCTGTAATTTGTGTTGCTCTTCCCGCTGACAATCTCTAAAGCTACGACTCCGAAGCTGTAAACATCTGCCTTGTCAGTCAAGTAACCCCTCATTGCATATTCAGGAGCCATATATCCTCTGTAGATAAAACAAGTAGGTTCGCATCAGTGAGTACAGTGCCATAGCCAATAAACGGCAAAGCAGTTCAAGCAATATGTTTAAAAACTGAACACTATGTTCGCATCGAATGCAATAAGAAAAGAATATCATCCTTCAAATATCTTCTATTAATAGTTATTCGGTTTAATAGCGAACTTTTACTCCATAGCCCGCTAGCACTTTGGTTTAACCTTTTTTCTTGGAAATTTTATGATTGAACTAATTTAGTGCCTGATACTATGTTCAACCAAGAAACACCATACTATTCATCAAGGAAAGAGAGAGAGAGAATAAAACTAAATTATAGTTAACGAGAATGAGATCAGAGAAAGAATCATACATTGTTCCAGCTATGCGTGTGCTGATATGGGTGTTCTCTTCTTCATCAAGCTTTGCTAAACCAAAGTCAGATATTTTGGCATTTAGATCCTTATCAAGCAGCACGTTTGTCGCCTTTATATCTCGATGAACTATTTTCAACCTCGACTCCTCATGAAGATAAACTAACCCTCTTGCTATCCCCACACATATCTTCTGTCTTGTTGGCCAATCCAAGTGTAGTCGGTGTTCCGAGGAACCTATCAGCACAGAAAGAGAGAGAATGAGAAAATCTTGTGCTTTAAGTGCTTTATGACAATGAAAAAGCAGTACTTACCAAAGAGTGCACGAGCAAGACTATTGTTCTCCAAGTATTCATATATAAGCAACAATTGATTCCCTTCAATGCAGCAACCATAAAGCCTCACAAGGTTTGGGTGTTGCAATGCAGATATCATGCCTATCTCATTAACAAATTCACGGTTCCCTTGCTTTGATTTTGATGACAGCTGCTTAACAGCAACCACACGACCATCTGACAGTACACCCTAAAATATGCATGCAAATCCAAATCAAATGTTTTAGATGACCACATCTTTTTTTTTTTTTTTTTGATAGCACAAATAAACAAATTTTCAAATGTGTATACTCGAGGACAAGGTCGTGATATACTTACTTTGTAAACTGGTCCGAAACCTCCTTCGCCTATCTTATTTGCAGGGTCAAAGTTAGCGGTAGCAGCTTTAATGTGTCTCAATGAAAAATACCCTGTTTGTAACTCTAATGCACGTAGTTCTGTAACAAAAAAAGACTTTAGGTACTTGGCGTCCAATATGATAGTAAAAATGGAAACAGAACTAGTTAATTTTAAACATAAAGTGCCTTTGTGAAGCGCTGACGAACAAAACAAGTCCATTACTCTTCAAGTGTTACACAAATAACAAGCAAACAAAACTATAACAGGATATAATACATTCTTGTATTAGCTTAGTCATCCATGAGCTTTTTTTTTTTTCCTTCTGGTTTAGATCTCAAAAGCAACTACATGTGAATACAGTTTGTCCAGTTTGAAATTCAACAGCAACCACGTGTAAACATTGTTGTAATTTAACTATCCCTATGCAACAATATGATGCCTATGTCATTGAACTCATTAAATTGGATCTGATCTGCTTAAAGTAACCAAATATCAGGCTCCCTTATAACTTTAAAACCTTAAAAGCGCTTTCTAACGGTTCAAAACTTCCCGTCTCTTTGAAACCACCAATGGAAGCACAGGCAAGTTAAATCAAGGAAGAGGTGCAAAGAAAGAGTAGTAAATCAATGTCATGCACATGCACCTAAATGACCACACAAATCAAAAACGTCCAATCTATTCAAGTGTACTTCCTATTTGTAAGAGTGAACAATTAGTTCAGAGGCAAGAATTCTATGTGCAAATATTTCTAGTGTCATAACTCCTCACCTGGATCTTCAATGTCTTTTCCACCCAAGTAACCCTTCATTCGAAGTACTAGCAGAATAAACATGAGAAAAACACACGATGCAGCCACAATACCAACAATTGCTCCAGCAGATAGGCCACCCCCGGTATTGACTTTATAGTCTGAAAAAAAAAAAAAGTTATCATGATCTCTAATCGTGAGTGGAAAGCAAAGTAGAAATCATGATCTATGAGTCAAACATACTTGGTGTAATAGAAATAGCAGATATAAGAGGTCCATAGACGCCACGCGAAGGAATAGAATTAGTTCCTTTGCCCGCCCAGTACAAGTGTATTTCTAGAGTGCTACCATCGATAGTGATATTATCAAATGTTTTGACGACGCTTATGTGAGCACCTCCAGCTTCCTCCACGATGTTGAAATCCCTCAAAACTAAATTCCCCTGTTCACAATCCAGTTAGAAACATTAGTAGCATTAACTAAAATTTTCATTTCTTTTTTTTTTTTCTCTTGGAAAGTTAAGTTACATCTTATAAAGAGACATATTAATGATAGATGAATGAAGTGATTACTCGATCAGTCTAATATAATATACTTTTACGTACTTGAATTGAGACATTGAATATGCGCCGGCCGAGGCTGCTGAATTTCTGGTTGTTAGAAAAAACTATTTCGGAAAAGTGAAGTTGAACTTTGTAACTTCCTTTTTGCATGCAAAGGCCATAGTACTTGAGTGATATAGGGGAAAGGCGTGCTGTTTGGTAAATTTCTGCTTTAGTCTGATTTTGAGAATTATCTTGGAAGATGAATCTCCCATTGTCATTACCCGTAAAGACCCCCGTCGAACTAAAGCCCCATTTTTCTGCTGTAGAATAAAAGGTTGCTGCGACATCATTTTGCGTGTCCTCTTCATACTGATTGCCATCGAAATTCGAATTTGGCCCTCCACAATTGATAAACAAAGAATGATCTGCGGTTAAAGTATTGAACATAATTAATTCAAACAACCATCAAACAAATGCATCTTAACATGTGATTGATTTCATATGAACTTATCCTTACGTTGTGCTCTTCCGGAGCAGGGAAGGCCCTTCTTCAAGCACCATCTATACGTTGAAATCAAGTCTTAGTCATTCATGTGTTATATAAAGTTTCATTAGACATCATTAGAAGTCAGTGGGAAGGGACTTACGATTGGGTCACAGAAGATGGGTAACTAGAAATGAGATTCCTGTTCGACATAAAAAGTAATAAGTAGCCATATAATAAGTGATAGGAATTTAGCAGAAAATATAAGAGGAACAGATAAATCTTTAGGTCCAAACTTACGGAGACAAACTTGTACAACTAAGCTGACCAGCTGACACTGTAAAATTGTTGTAAGACAAATCACTGCAAACAGATAAATCACAACTTTCTTAGTTTGATAGGCCAAGAAAGGATGGTAGATTAACCACACATTCACGTAAAACATTGCAATAACTTGTGAAACTACAGCACGCGGTGCATAAATAAATTTACAACAAAACGACACAAATTTCACAGGAAATAAATAGCATAATCTACTAACATGTCATCCTTGCTGCTCATTATCCAAGATGGTACTTCTCCAGTAAGAGAGTTCTTGGTCAAAAACCTACACACGTAGATCAACCCCAATCGTTATCACCTTTCAAAAAATTCATTGAGAGATACACAAATAACATATTTGAGAAATAATTTAAACCTCAAACAGTTGGATAAACTTAGCATTGATCATATATTAATAATCGACTTACATGTAATTTAGTTTAGTTAGACTTTGCAGCTCCACTGGGATAACACCAGTCAACCTGTTGAAACTCAGGTCCCTAGAAATAGCCACATATAAGTCTACCTTAGTATTTTTATCTTCACACATTACATAGCAAAATTAATCAATCTTTCTTCAGTAAGATATGTGTTATGTAGTTTAAAATGTTGTCATTTAGAAGTAAAGAACAAGGACAACTAGTCAGAGCTTTGAACAGAAATCCTTAAGTCATGGAAAATTGATAAGCATTAATCACAACAAAAGCTTCAAAACTTTTGACTGGGTCGTTATTTTGCGCAAATTCACTTGCTAGGCTTACTACTATACCAATTATAAGCACTTACAGTAATTTCAGCTGTGTCATTTGTCCAAGGTATGGTGGAATCTGATCAACAATTAAGCAATTCCTCAAGACCCTGAATCAGAAAAGTGAAAGGAAGAACTTTATAAGTTCCATAGAAGAGAGCCATTGCAATAGTTGCAGCATTTTAGGTCATGTTGCACTCACAATCTTTCCAAAAGTTTCAAATCCTCCAAATTAGGGAAAGGTATAGCTGATCCCCACAAATCAGATATCCTCCTGAGAAACAAGCCGAGTCAGATAATTCAATCACTAATTTAATTAGTAACTTCAGTCAGATATAACCAAAACAAAACCTATAATTATCAGATGAAGGAGAATGCTCTCACAATTCTTCTAAGTTTGTCAAATTTGCTATGGTTGAAGGAATAGGGCTCTCCAAGAAAGTGCCTTGCATATCCCTGAAACAAATTACTTGTTGACGTTTAATGTTTAATAATGACAAAACTAAGTGATTTCCAAATTATTTCTCAATAAGAGAGAAAAGCACGTAAAATGGAATGAAAATTTCAATACTCACAGTCTGGTAAGTTTGGTCCAGTTCCCAATAAAACTAGGTATTTTCCCTGATATTCTGGTCCCATCTATCCTACTGCAGGCCATATATAAGTAAGCTAGAATGAAAAATCTTTTAACTTCAGAAAACTAGAGATGATGAAGCCTTGCATCACTTACAAGTCGGTTAAGTTCTTTAAATTTCCAAATGTTTCTGGTATTTGTCCTGTAAAATTGTTTGCAGACAGAAGGCTGTGCAATAGAAACCATTAATCAAGAGCTATTTAAAGCAACTTTCATAAAAGAAATCTACAAGGTGCACACAGAAAAAGTTGCTGACAGGAAATATATATTCATTGCGTGTGTGTGTGTGACAGCTCCAGAAGACTTAATATGCAAAATAACCTTCAGGAAACTGACATTGTCAATAGCTTTTAAAGGCAAAAACATCACCCATTTACATTGTATCGAGATAGAAAGACAATAGAGTTATATGGACCTAAATGTCCACAAAGTTTTGCTTAAATTACAGTTTACCACATCAAGCATGCAAAACATGAAGCAGTCTCCAAAGTTTGAAAAATGAATAAAAAAAAAACGTTAACAGCCACCAAATCGGTGATATACGTCAATCGGTGATAAACGTTGAAAAAAAAAAAACGTTAACAGCCAATCGACCCACCAAATCTAGTTGAAGAATTTGGATGTCAAAGCCTTATAATATGCGTCATCAGAAGGATTATTTTTCATGTACTAGCGCACCTTTTAGTATGACACCCGAATTAAAAAGTGCATTTTAAAATAAAATTTCCAAAATTAAGTTTAAAAAAAAAAAGAACAAAAAAGAAAGAACAGGGACAGTTGTCTTACAGCCTTTGCAAATTACCCAAGCTCCCAAGCCCTGGAGGAAGAGGCCCACCCAGCAAGTTATTTTCCAAGACCCTGGAAAATATGCAATTCAAATCTATTAACGTTATACATTTTAACCTTTCTTTGTTCAATTTTATATATGGAGTTATACTGCATGGCTTACAGATCCGTGAGCGTAGTGATTTCGCCAATTTCCGCAGGAATGGAACCACTAAGTCGGTTTCCCAAAATAGACCTGCAACACACGATAACCGAGAGTTTAAACTTGGATATATTGAAATATATATATATATATATATAGTTCTTAGACTCATATATAGATGTAATCAACGCACATAATAACTGACTTACAGAATGCGTAAAGGGGCACGAGAAAGGGTTTGAGGGATTGATCCATTGATGTAGTTGCGAGTTAGATCACTGTTTGATGATAGAAAAGTTAATTTCCGGTGTACTTAGTACTACATATGTAAAACTTTTAATGTCATGATCATGTTGAAGAAGAGATGGAATGGAAAACCCAATACGCTTATCGCCCTCGCATATACACTTGTGAACACTATGAACATATATTTATTATTACACAAATATTTATTTATTACTTACTGAGCAGTGCGCATGTATATTTCTATATAAAATTTTAAGAATTAGACGTCTTATTCTATACTACATACTTAGAGCAATAAAATGGCTTTAAAAGAAAAATAAGAACAATTTATAGTAGTACTCTATTAACGTAAGAGCAACATGATGAATAAGATAATCTTTATCTAACCTCGCTAAACCTAAATACGGCGCCTGTTATAAAGAAAAATTAGGACATCAAATTTATAAGTGTGAAATCCCCAACTTAATATAAAACAAGTGAATTTCTTTTAAATTTTCAACATGACACTTTTGACTTTTCAACTTCCTCTAAGATATTACAATCCAACGCATGACAACTAAAAATGTACTATAGTTGTAAAATTCTATTGTCCTCGTATTTAAAAATTTGCATGCAGAGCAATTCTTTAGCAAAAATAAATAAATTATCCTAAGCATTTGCAAATGGGAATAGCTTAAGTGAAGTTCATAAATATCTACATCATATTAGATTAATAAAACAAAATTATTTGCTAATTCTTCCAATAAGTTTAAATTATTTGAAAATCATTACGATTTAATAGTACGTATAGCTAGTTCTGAAATTTTCTTTCCAAGTGAGAGAGCATATATCACTCACAGTTCTTCAAGATGAGTAAGATCTCCAAATTCTTCAGGTAGAACTCCCGCTAAATTGAGGCTCTTCAATTGGCTGTCATACCACATTTCAATACATAAATGATATGAAAAAGGACAAGGAAAAGAAAACATAACTCCCCTACTCACTTGGCAAACATTTAATAAGCCCATAGCCCCATGCATATATAATCAAGGGATAAAATGCATGTGTTAGTACCATGTGTTTTTATAAAATTAAAATGATACCTCCATATTTTTAAAACTTCTTCTTCGTACCTTAAAAGTGATTTTTGAGACGTAAAATGACTCTAATACCCTTATATTTAATTAACCAAAACTAATAAATGTAGAACAAAAATCATGAACTTTTTTATTTTGTTGTTTCCTTTTAAATATTTTAATATTTTAAAATATTTTTAGATTTTTGAAAAAAAACATTAATTTCTATTTAATTAACAAAAAGGGTAGTTGCGACATTGTATGTCTCAAAAATCAGCTTTATCAAGAAAATATTTTTAAAAACGTCGAGGTATCCTTTTAATATTATAAAAAACACAGAGCACTAAAAGCATGTTGTGCTATAACACAAGATAGCAAAATCATTTTATCCCTATAATTATGGACAGAACTAAATTTTGTCCCCTAAAAATATTAACTTTATTTTTTGCTGTATGTCCCCCTAAAATCTTTTAAATTGCATTACCAAAGTAGATGTTAAAACTCCAATTGAACTAAAAATCAACTCTAAAACTATGTAAACTTATACAAAATAAAATACATAAAATGGATAAAACAAAGGCAATAAGAGAAATAAAGTTCAATAAAATATAGTTGCATTGTAATTTAATTAAGTTCAAAGCTTTTGTTTCCCTGCATCTCTCTGAAAAAAAAAATTTGGCTCCGCCATCAATTATAATATGGTGTTTCTCTAGCGTGTGCATTAATGTGAAAAATGAGGACCAGAAAAAAGTACTTACATGGATTTGATATGACAAATAGTACCATTTGTGGAATTAGAACAAACGCACGTGAGATTGCTTATAACGTCTACTCCTAACGTCGCATTTAAGCCAAAACCGTCTCTGCAAGAACTTCGGCTGATGTTCCATAAACTGTTCAGCTGTAGTTTTCTGGAAATTGTTTCAAGAGTTTTCACTGCCACATATTACAAATGAATCAGAAAAACGTAGATATGTTCAACAGATCAGAAACCTTTTATTCTTCAAAACTCTTCCCATCCTCATCGTTTGTTAATTTATCACCTTAAATTCATCTATATTCTCAAGTGTCATTTTTTAATAAATTGTTTTTCCTCATTATATACTATGTATGTATACTCCTCGAAGTACGTCTCTATATAAGCATTGGTTAGCCAAAGAAATTAAAAAAAAAAATCTTTTAATGAGGTTGATACACTTATTTGTTATTTAATTCATACAGAAATCTTTTTAATAAAACCAATTAAGATGACTATTCCTTTTGACCACCCCATACTTCAGTCAAGCACGAACATTATTTAATATGTAATAAAGATCACATGGTCACACTAAAATTCAATTTAAATAGCAATATTTTTTTGTTATTGATCTCGTCTCAATGTCCACCGTCCGACAATTAATAGACTGTAGATAAGATGGCATAACTGGAAATGGTCCATATATGTCACCCATGTTTACAAGTCAAACATATTTTTAATCAATATCTTCTCAACTAGCCTTATCCAGCCCATCAAAATGTCTAATTATAATAACCTACACGTAACTACGTAACCATACAGTTGTCTCTTAGTTGTATATAAATATATGTTTTATGGACGAGTTTATAATGATCATTTAAACTGTGGTTATACTTTAAATATATAAATTCAATTACGTGCTCTGATAAGAGTTAAATCCCATTAATGATCTTAATTTTTGTTGTTAATATTACTCATTTTATTATAATAGTCTTATCAATATAACACGATTAAAACAATAATATCCACTAATATATGTACATATTAAAACAACCATGAAAAACACACATATATAGAGATATATGCGCTATGGTCATTATTAATTTAAAACAAAAGAATGGGAACCTGTAATAATTTTACACGTGACTTTATTATAAAGCGCATAAAAAGAAAAAAAAAAAACCGAAACACTATAAAAATTTTCAAAAAATAAAATTTAAAAAGAAAAGGAAAGATGAAAAGTGGTTGACTAGTCCAATCCTTCACGGGTTTGCAACTTTCAGCTTCTCACTTCTCGGTAAAAGAATGGTAGAGAAAATAATGACCCCAATGTGATACTTTAGGTTAATCCCAAAAACGGCAGTAATGAAATTGAATGCAGACCATTTCTTAGCAGCCTCTACCCGACAGCATTCAATAATCGATGAACACATGGACTGAAAAAAGCCTTTGTGACGATAAGTGTAGCGTCAGAATAACAAATAATTTACTCTTGCATCCCTATCCAAAATATTATAATAATATATACCGGACATGTAAAGTCATTATCTACTGATCTACTCTCTGTTGGCCTGTATTCAAAATGAGAAAAAGACTCTCTCGCTTTAATTTAACACCTATTTTAACACTTCAACGTCAATATCTTCCACTTGCACAAACATTTAATTTCATACAGGGCCATTATGTGTGTCCTGTGCAACCACGTTCTGCCTTTTTTACCCTTATACAGTAACGTGCACTAACGGTGGTTTTCATAGACTGTTAGTTTACTAATTCATACTAAAAGCTTAAGCTATTAAGAGGTGGGTTAACAATAATTTTATACTTTAACACTTTCCTTCACGTGTGGACTGGACAATGGACAATCATGTGGGTAAATTAATTAGAAAGCCCAACATATGAATATTTAAGCCAGAAATATATTAAAAACTTAATACATAATGACAATTTAAATGGGGATAGAGAGTATAATTATGAGGGTTTGAATTCAGGAAAGGACGGTTTATAAATTTCCTCTAAAATTCAATCAAAAGCTAAACAAATATGCTCTTGTATTCCCGTGGGAAAAATATCTCAAGCGTAAGGTACGAATAAGACTCCTTGTGGGGCCAAACCAACAAAGGAATTGATAAAACTTCAAATTATTGATCAGAAATAGACAATCCTTTATTCATATTTTATTTATGATAAACATGAAAAAATGGACAATCTTATCGATAGACATAACTATTTCTATATAAAATAAGGATTAAAAGAAATAGGTCGGTATTGTGATCCAAAGAAGAATCCAATTCTAAGAAATTAAGGTCGACATTAAAATGTAAAATAATCGCAATGAGGCCTTTATATTGCTAAGTAATTAAAAGGTTTTGAACCCAATCAATTTTGAGAAAATATATTATATTACCCTCATTCATAATAGTTAAAAATATTGGTGTATACTATTATTTCAATTTTCTGAATGGTCGGAGAATGAATTTGTGTTTTTCGCTGGAAAATCAAATTTTATAATTAGACTGATTCGCTGAGCATTGTTTGCTTGCTGAGAAAAATGCCGAGAAACAGCATGAGAAAACAAATTGAGGAATTTGTTCGAATGCTTAAGAAAAACGGGGATGAGAAAATAACGGAAAACGAAACTCAAAAGAAAGCAAATACGCACATGACAAGCAAAACTAGCAGCATTAATTTTCTTTCCCTTTCTCACCAACCAAACACACACACAAAAAGGAAAAAAAAAAAATCCATACAGTAAACGGAACACCGTCTCAAACTCAAACAAGTAATTTGAAAAAATTTCACTGACAAAAATTCAAAAAACTGGAACCGAGAATGTTTCGAAAATGTACCTTCATCTTCAGGCAGAAGTTGAGCCTCGGATCCAAATCCGCCGAAACAATTCAAAGCCAGAAATCCGAAGACAAAAAGGGCGAGAATCTCGTTCGTCGAGAAAACGAATCCCATTTTTTTTCCTTCTTCCGTCACAAAAACAGAGCAGCGAAAGAAGAGAGAGAAAGAGAGAATGATGAGAGAGAAGAAGAGGAGGATTACAGAGAGATTTAAGAAGTTTCGCAAAAGTGAAAGAGTGATTGAATCAACATGCGAAATCAGAAGGAAAGATCGCTCTTTTTGATTTCAAGAGTGGCTTTATGGGAAACAGAATAGTAGTTGTGGAAATGAACACCAAAAAGCAAGAGAATCAAAGCACGAAAGTACGAGTACGGAATTAGTAGCAAGCGAAGTAAAAAGGAGTTTGGAGAGAGCAAGCAAGAGACAGAAAGAGAGAGCCGCCAATGAGGAACGCAAGTGGATTTGATTTGCTTTCTCCTCCGGATTTATTTGCCTTTTGTGTTTGTAAGAAATGTGGGTTGTTCTTTTGTAACAAAATTAAAAAAAAAATTTGAATTAGAGTTATAATTTTATTTAAATTTATATATTTTTGTAAAATTTGAGTTTAAATTTAAATTTAAATTTGAGTTTGAGGTTAAACTCGAGTTTAAGTTTTCTCTTAAATTTAAATTTATAAACTCAAACTCAAGTTAATGAATAATATTTTTTCTATTTTTAAAAATGTCATAACTTTTTCATTTTAATTCTGATGTAGTTGATTTTTTTTCTATGCATTCACAACGAAAAGACGAATAAAACCTCCCCATATACCCTATTAAAATTTTTCATCACCATTGAATTTTTATTAAAATACTATCTAAATATAAATTTAAGTTTTGACTTACTCAAACACAAACTCAAATAGATTCTCAATTCAAATCATAACTCAAATGTGCACATCCAAACACAAACTCAAGTTACAACTTCAACTCAAGTTATAACTCAAATTCAACTCAAGATCGTCACTCAAGTCATCCTAACTCAAAATTATAAAAGAACAACCCCGTCAGCATCCGAGACTCGTGTGAAATTTTTGGCATTGGAAAACAACACGGTTATTTTGGAGATTGGTGGCAATACAAATTTAGGGTCCGTTTAGTCCATTGATTTAAATTTTTAACTTAAATTGAGATGTGATTTTATATGATAGTTTTTTATTATAATAAAAAAATTAGATGTGACAGTTTCTGAGAACTTTTTATTGTAGCAATAACAAAACTCGAATCAATAAAATAAACGAGGCTTACTTTTTTTTTAAAGAAAATCCAATATCATTTAGGATTTAAATATTATATTTATTCTTTTAAGAAATAATTATTTATATTCTGAAAAACAATTAAATAATAATTAGTGAATTTTAGGTATGATATATATATATATAAAAATACCTTATCTATAAAACTCTATTAAACTGTGCAGGGGGGGCTATTTGGGGACGAGTAGGGCGGTTTTGTCTCGTTCACTTCGCAGATTCGAGTTTTCAATTTGAGCTGAGATGTGACATTTTCTAAGAGCTTTTCACTGTAGCAGAAAAAGTTAGATGTGATATTTTATGAGAGCTTTTTACTGTAGACACCTAAAATTGAAAACTCGAATCGGTGAAATGAATGAGACATAAAAAAAATTAGTGCGTTTGGTTGAAGGATCTGTACCATGGTTCGAATCATGATTCGTAGCTCGTCACAGTATCTCACAAAAAACACACGTAAATCGAGAATGATTCTGAATCATGATTCTGAATCCATCAACCAAACATCCTCTAAAATTCGAGCCTTTAAAAATTTTAACTTTTCAATTTTGTCCACTAAAATTTAATATTTTTATATATATCCGCACTAAACTTTATATTTTTAAGTTTTATTTCTATAAGTCTTCTACAAAAAACTTTACTCATTTATATATATACTAGTTCAATTTCACGTGTGAAGTAATTCAAGTGTTAAGTTTTAATTACCGTATTAATATTAAAAAAGAAAAACTTATTTAGGTAAATGAAAGAAAAAAAATTAAAAAGATAGTGAATAATGAAAAAATATAAAACTTTGGGGAAAAAGCAAAAGATAAAAGAAAATATGAAAGGAAAAAAAGTGAACAGTGATCAAATAGTGAAAGCACTATTCATATGTGGTGAATTTTAACTAAAACTACATCGTTTTCTTTTTAATATTTGTTCAATCAATGGAAATGTACCAAGAAATTTATAATATTTTTTTCTAAATTTTATAGGACCAATACGCTGAAGAAGAGTCTCAGGAAAAGTTTCGATCTCATGAGACTGATGATGTGCTTACTAGATCATTGGGAAACCCAGAATATTTTGACCATGTTCGTAGCAATCCCAATTTGTCAAATAATCGACTTATTTTCATTCCACCAGCAAATCAAGATGGGATGAGGAGTTGACAATGCTGCATAAAAGGGAATCGAGGCCATATGGGAAGCAATGCAATCATCCCAAGGCCATACCCCAGAACCTATAGGAGAGGGAATGGGAACTCCTACGGTGGATCAACGGCTTAGTGTTAAGGAGAGTTCTACTGTGCATAATGCTATGCCACCGGTAGAGCCCCCCTCATCAGGCCTTGGTGATGGTAGTAAGTGCATTCTTCTGGATCCAATAGAGGGGGAGAATAATTTCATCGTTGTTGTGATGGGATGGCGTGGTTGGATAGTCACCCCACCAATGTTGTCTACGATGTTGCACTTGGGGAGGGAAATGTACGCATCTCTATTCAATCGACTTATGTGAGAGACACGTCTCTGCCTATCTCTACATTTGATAGCACGACTGTGGGTGACGCTCTCGGAGAATTTGTTGCCTGGCCCAAGAATTTTGTTGAACAAAGGTCCTTGAGTAAAGTTAGCAAGTAACTATCCTTATTGTTTTTTCACAATAAATTATTATTTATTATTAAATGTATAATTAACTTCTTCATTTTTCATGTAGTCACTTGTGGCATGTGTATAATCCGGAGAATGTCCTACGATGTTGAGGTTTCATGTCCCCGATGCTCAAGTCCTACGTTCCAGGCCAAGCGGAGCTGGATATAGAGCTGTGGGCAAATGCCATTTATACATTTTTGTTACAATCGGATGCCCAACGCACTTTTTTCGTGCCATACAATAGAGGATAGTTTTGTCGTTGGATCCCTTCATGGCGAAAGTACGCGTGGACTTCAGAAGAATGATTGCCGTGTAAGTTTAGCATTCTTTATAACTTTTAAACTACTAATTTATATTATTTTCTTTACTAATTAATTGATTTTTTCATCATTTATTAGTACATTACATGGTTGGAAGGCGCAAACAAGGCTTGAGTTTGAGCGTCATGCAGATGGGTTCACAAAATTTCTCATACCAAAGGTAAATGTTCATAATTTCGTTCACTGAATCACTCGAACTTAAGGAATACCATTTTTCATGTACTAAAATTTTTTATTCATTATCAGAAAATTCTGACACAAGAGAGGAACAAAGAATGTGTGTTCTTCATCTTACGGTATATACGCGATATAATGAGAGTCGGTGTTAATAATCTAAAAAACATAGAGGCATATACTAAAGAGCATTTAGTAGAAGTTATCAGTGAATAGGCACATTTTGTAAAGGGACATATATTATAAAGGTACATATAACATATTGTAAAGAGACATATAATGTAAATCATGTATTTATTTTGATTTGAATATACATAATATTAGTTTGTTTATGTTCAGTGATTTGTGACTTGCGTTAATTGTGTGGCAAAAATGTTGATAAATCACAGGATTAATAGACCAACCCTTAGGAAAAATAATAAAACAACACCATTTTTTTTAGTGCATAAGGGAGATATAACGACGATTTTTAATTAAAACTGTTGTTATATATATATATATATATATATTTATTTATTTTTAACAACGGTTTCTGAATAAACCGTTATTAAATATGATGCCTAACCACCAAAATTGTCATTTTGAGAATATCTTAGACGATGGTTTTGTATATAAACTGTCATCTAATGTTTTATTTAACGACAGATAAAAACCGCCATTAAGTCGTATAACAATTTAACGACTCTAGATTAGACGACGGTTCTCCTAACCGTTGTCTATTAACAGTCGTTAAATCCTAAATTTCTACTAGTGGATACAAGTATAAACTAGCAAACTCTGTACAAATTTTGTTAGGTTGTTCTTGTTGTATTTCTTTTTTTCTCATTTTGCAAGTAGTGATGATTGGAAATTTGAACTTCTTACTTTTTATATTTGTTGTCTCATTTTCTTAATAAATTAGAGTGGGAAGTTTTGAAGTAAGATAAGTTTTTTAGCAATCTAAACTTAGTTGGAATATGCTAAATTTCTCAACCATCAATTAGTCCCCCCTCTCTCTCACTCTCTCCATTTTCTCAACACAAATTCTTTATGTTTTAAATTATTATGTATTAGTTTCTATTTAATTAATGAGAATGGTAGTTTGGATATTTTTTTGTCCCAAAACAGCTTCAAAGTATAAAAAATGATTTTTCAAAACGTTGAGATACTCATTTATAATTATAAAAATGCACAATACTAAAAGCAGATTGCGATAAAACACAGGACATGTAAATTATATTTGCCCTTGTTTTTGAGTGTTTTAATGGCAAGGGAGAGAAAATAGCTCAACATCACTTTTGATTTGAGGGCTTCCAACTTTTTCCATCAAAATAGAAACATAAATAATATAATTTTTCCCATCAAAATACGTATATGACCATTTTAAAAGAGCGGGTTTGAGATTGTTTATTTAACTCTATTTCATTAAAAAAAAAAAGCCTATTTTGTTGTAGGTTTGGACATAAAATTTGAATGGAAATTCAAATTTGGCTGAATTTTTTTTTAGCAGCTTCTTATACGGATCTTGGTTCATGTGATGTAGAAGGTCTGGCGACATATCGATTTTGTTTGTAAAGCTTCCAATGACTGCTGAAACATGGATCACGCACTCTTTTTATTTTTTCGGGTTTCTCCGTGGGTTTTATCGGAAAGGGTTTACAAGGAGGCCTCCAATATTTTGAGTAGATCGTGTTTTTGTTTTCTCTGGTGTTATATACTCTATTGCTCTAGGAGGTGTTTGGAAGAGAGGATAGTTTTGTCGATTATGGATGTTTTTATATTTTCTTGTTTTCTACTCTTTTATGAGAAATGTTACCCTGAATTATTTGTAATTTTATGTTTCTTTTCATTTACTAATAAAATTTGAGTTAGGAAGTTCATAAAGGACTAGAACGATTAGAATAGAGGGTGACAACCTAGTTGAGATGTTCTAATCGTCTCTGATATCAGTTATTCCTTCTCTCAGTTCAAATTTTTCACTATAAAAGATAAAAGATGTATGTTTGGTGATTCTCCTGTCAAATTATTTTCATTCTACAATTTAGTTTTATTTTCATTTTAATTATTTTTCTTAATTCTTTGGTGTTTTTTTATAAATAATGTTAGGGACACCAACTCCAATCCAGTTCTTGCTTACCAATTGTATGATATATGTGAGTTGTCATTATTATATTGATTGGTGTTTTAAAATATTATCACGTCATTTAATGTTACATGTCATATCAATTGCTACGTAAGATTGAGATTGAAGTTGGTGTCCCTAGTATTTACTCTTTTTTTATTCAATAAAATGGAGGTGTAAATTTAGTGTGGGAGATAAAATCAACTTGATTAGGATGTTGTGATTAAAGAATTTTATTGATTCCCTCTCTAAAGGGGGAAAAAATGTACTAGAGCTATAGTTCTTCAATTTCCACACACACATCATTATTTACTTTAAGGAAACACTACAACGTGTCCCAATAGCAATTAATATTGTTCCATAAGTCTAAGAACAGTAAAAGAACAATACAAAACAGTCAGAACATAAGTAGTACGAAATGCATAATTAACTAGCTTGAAGTTATAGGCCACTTTTTCTCACGAATGATTACATATGCTCATAAAACGACTTCTCAAAGACCTTCATATGTTCATCGTGCAAGGCTATAATCAAAGACATAACCCCCATCGTCAGCTGCAGAAGGCACAATATAAGATTTTCCCTCAAAGCTTATTGCAGCGATTCCCATGTAACATGGTCGGCCCCACCCAAAATCAGCATCATGTGTTCCCATCCTAGACCAACTAGTGATCCCAAAATTTGGACTCTGATAAAGGTGGGCTCCACGTCTAATGGGTGATATATCAGGTTGAAGCTCAAGATAGTCAATTGCTGACCTTAAGTAGTCATTGTTCATTTTGACCAAAGTTTCATGAATAAGACTCACCCCATACGACAATGGTTTGGTTTGGAGATCACCCGCTAGAGCAATTTGCCGTGGCTGCAAAAATGGCCTTCCATTCACAGGAAAGTACAATCTCGTCTCTTCATCACGTGGCACGTCACGTGCTTTGCAAACACATTTCCAAGGGTGGCCTGCCAAAACCTCAAATGTGCTATAGTGGACCCCCCCACCTTGACCATTTTTGTTGGCTAGGGATTTCATTGTGCTAAGTTGGTCCTTGGTCAACTTGAAAATGGAAGTGATTGTGCTATGATTTTGTTGAGAGATTATCTTGGTTGAATTAGTGGAAGTGATGTTATACAAAAACATGTTCACAGATATATGCAGGAAGGAAAAAAAAAGTGTATATTTCTCTAAAATTTGCTTATCATTGTTACAATTATTGCATACTTATTAATATTCTTGTCTTTACGATGTCAGTGTTGTATTTCACTGACGTCAAAAGGTTTTAACGTTGGTTGAATATCAAACGCCATTTAACTTTGGAAATTGAATACTCATTCAAGACTTTCTTTTCTTTTCTTTTTTTTTTTTTCCCCTAAAGACTCATTCAAGACTCTAAAAATCACCTTTTATCATACAACTACTAAAAAATTGAAACATCTACCATCCTAACGTATCTAACGTGGTTTTATAAAAAGATGAAGTTGATAGTGTTATAGAGTATTGGTTTTGACTTTTTAACATGATTTTAAATGTAGAACTAATGTGAGGCGTCAATATCCAACTAGATCACGTAGGATAAGTTCCCATCTAACCAACAATAAAAAAAAAAAAAAAAAAAAAAAAAAAAAAAAAAAAAACTTTAGGCCGTTATCATAGAAGATGAATCCTATCTGTGATTCTATTTACTATTTACAAAATTTACTTTTTATTAATGAGTGATCCTTAACATAATAAAATGGAGGTCGCGGTCCAATTAATTACTTATCCTTTTTTAATCTACTTTTCTATTTTCTATTTTTGCTTATTAATTGGATCTTTTTTCCATATATAATATGTCCAATTTCATACAAACGTTGATATCCGCGTAATTATATATATTTATATATATATATTCCAAAATGTTGACTTTGACTAAATATGCATGTGTACTGTACAGTTTAGAATATCAATAAGTTGGTGGGAATTAAAAATGTGACTTTATATTAGAGCTTTTTATTATAGTAAAAAAATTAAATATGACTGTTTTTAAAAACTTTTTACTGTAATAAAATTTTAATTTTAATTTTAAATCGGTAAAATGAACGGGGCTTAAGTTGTTTCCAATCATGGGTATATTGAAAATCAAAACTATGGACATATCTTGATCACTTTATCCCAAATAATTAAGCACTATTAAGATATAATATGAAATATGTGGTTTTCATTTTACTTGCATATATTTTGTTATCATTTGACACAGCACTAAAAAAGCTCATGACGTGGTTAGTTTTCACCCTTTATGATAAATAAGATTTTTTCGTCAACATACTTTTGACCAGATATCGTTCTCATTTTTCAACGTTGCTCGTTAAGATGCATACATTCGTACAAATATAATGGTCCCGGAACATTAATTCCGGGGTCTATAATTTCGTCCAATCAAATGGAAAGGAGTGTAGGAGGAATATGAGAAAATATCAGAAAGCCGAAAAGATAACAGGAGAGTAATCTCATGTCGGGCCAAGTTGCAAATAATTGCAAAAACTCATCTTTCATCTTATTAAGGGCTTTTTTTTTTCATTTTTTTAATGCCCACGGGACGTGGGCCCCATGTATACATATGTAATGCGGCAATTTGATTAAGAGATTGTTCGGAAATTTGTTTCCTGATTTAAATTATAGTTCGTGATTCATTATAGTATTTTTTTTTATAAAAATATACGTAAATTGAAAATAATTCTAACCACATAGATTTAATTCATAAACTAAACGTCTTCTATCTTCCTCCACTAGCAGGTTTTTTCGGAAAACTTCATTTATTCTGGCGTGGATGGCAGGCAGGCCTATATTTCTTGGTTTCAATAGGACTCCTTACGAGCGTTGTTTCTATCTACTATTATCTAAAAATAATAAAGTTATTAATGACTGGACGAAACCAAGAAATAACCCCTCACGTGCAAAATTATAGAAGATCCCCTTTAAGATCAAACAATTCCATCGAATTGAGTATGATTGTATGTGTGATAGCATCTACTATACCAGGAATATCAATGAACCGTCTAATCTTTACCGGTTGTATTATTACTGACATGTTTGTGATCACCATTTGAGATCTTTTTCAGCACCTCCAACTTGTATGGATTTTCGAGCAAAAAAAAAAAACTCATATGGATTTTGGTTTCATTAACCAATTCTGAATTGCCATTTTTGTTATAACTACTAATTGACGGGACAATTTTTAACTCAAAATTGGTAGAAGAATTAGAATGAAAATTTGACGTCCTTAGTATTATTCTTAAACTGTATATGCAGATTCTAAAGATTAATGTTCCTCTTTTCTAGGGAGGAAAAAAAATGAAAATCTACTAATGTTTGTATATAGAGAATAGTGTAATAGTTCGGAGAGCTCCAGTGACAACTTCCTGCAGGTTAATATTTCTAAGGATTAATTTCAATAATAGCATTATTGAATAAATTATTATTAATTTTAGCACAATTTTTGTACACTTTCACAATTAGTATTGTCATGTCAGCAGTGTGAGGTAAAATGACTCCTATGTCACTTAGGTCAAAATTATCATTTGAAAGCACCTCAAAAAAACTCTCAACTCTCTCCCGCTCATTTTCTCTCTCTACACCCCATTTTTCTGTCTCTCTCTCTCTCTCTCTCTCAAGTTTGGCCCCTCTCTCTACTCGGTCTCTCT